TCATTCGCGCGCTTATTAGGGATTAACTCGCGGCGCCTCAAAGAAGGCAGAAAAAAATGCGGCATGCAGATAATTTGCATGATGTGAGCTGTGATGGAAAATCATTGACTTGAGACGTGAAGCGTGAGGTGCGATTCTTGATTACTTTCAGATGGACGTGTTGTTTGAATTGACTTCTAATGAAGGAAGTGTTGAAACTTTCTGAATTTTGCTTTTTTTTATTATACAAAAATATAATTAAAAAAAAAGTTGCAAGAAAATATTATAAAGCTTATTTTATTTATTAAGATTACTTGACATATCTACTTTTTGTTATAAAAATTTTATTATAATATTTTATATTATTTTATCTTTAATTTTTTTTAAATTCATTCTATGATTGTGAGAATATTTCATTTATACTTGATTTTTGTATAGGTTAAAAATGTTATGTATTAAGTTTCAGCTACAGATTATGTTGATTGAATCTTAAATAAAATTGACATACTTTTTCGTTAGTTTCGAGTTCTATATAAGTCCATATTTAACATTGTATGTGCTAGTAAATAGATTGTGATTATATAACTAAATCCAACTATTACTTTGAATTTTTTTTTTTATGTAGCCTAGAATCATTTTTAACATTCACAATTGCGTTGTTCCTTCGCAAACTGGCTTTTACTTTTGAGAACTGTGAAAAATTGCAAAAAAAGGACATGTCTGCAATTTTCCCATTTAAGTACGATGCAATCAACGCAAGACTATGCACATGACTTACTTATTGCCCACTGCGCAACTCGTCAAGCTCAATTACTCTCACGCCGGATTAGAAATACTCATACATATTATAAAAAAACAAGTATAATTTAATTTAATGAATCTTGTTGTCATCTCCCTTTGTAATTATATTATTCTCTCCAGCAGGCAAGTATACAAAAAATTGACGTGAAAGCTGACTGGGCCCTCATAATTAGCTTTGTAATTTTTTCTTCACTATTTAGGGGGAAAAATCTTTGGCATTTCCTCGTTTGCGCGTCACCTGCTGGGAATATCCGTCCTTTAAAATAAAATAACAGAGGAAAATACAATATTGTAATTTACTTCCGGCGGCGGATTCCTCTCGCGTTATGAAATGAAAGACGTGTTGACGGAATAATTATTCGGCGACGCCCTTTTCATGCTAATGAATTTTATGAATAAATCACGAGTTCGCTCTCAAGGCTTTATTGGTCTTGAAAACCAACAAATTGACTTTTACCTTCCGATAAAAATGACAATTTTGCACAACTTAGAATCGCAACCTGAGAGATAATAATGAAAAATTGTGATTTAATCCTACTTATTGAAAAGTTGGATTTGCATATTATAAAATAAATTAGCCGTCAAGAGCTGATTAAATAAGGTCAACGTGACTGAGGAGAAATATGAACGGAACTTGTTTTTATGTAATTTATAATTTACATTTGACGCGTCTGACAAGCTGTGAAATACGTTTTATATTTTCTTGATCATAATTTGACGTTTTAACGCCAATAAATTCACACAACAACTACGCGGCTGCCTTCATGACCGTAAACAAGAAAATTCAAACACACAAAACTGCAAATAAAAAATGTTTTTCTTAAAAAAAGTTGTGTGTTTGGAAGCTCCCGAAAAAATGTTAAATGGAAAAAAATATACTGCGGGTTGTCAAAAGGCGCCGGCATCGATCGTAAATAATCTCAACAACATTCTTCTACGAGGAAATAATTTGTAATGCAAAAAGAGCTCCTAATGTAAATTCCGCGGCGTCTCCCGAGAATATTATTTATTTATTTGATTGTTTTGACACGAAGCCATTTACTGTGCGCCGTAAATTGAGCATTAAATGAACAAATCGCTTGTGAATAGATCATTTACATTCGACTCCCAGTAGGAGATTTTCGGCCACCTGCTGCTATAGAAATTTAAGAAACAAGCCTTTGATTTTGTTGTTTGGTAATTAAATTTTAATTCCTGCCGACAAGTGACGAAAGCGTTGATTGATTACAACCACTTAAAAACAAATAAAAAATAAAATTGAGCAAGCCATAATTGGTCACTTTAATTAGGCCCGTCCTCTTATAAAGTGTCGAAAGTGGGTCTCTTCAATCAGAAGCGTTCGCGTGAAATTCGAATGAAAAAAACAAATAATCCAGCGTATAATAAAAATTTATAATCATCAAGAAGTATGATTTGCTGGAGGACGGTCGTATAAAAATTAAATTCCGTATGCACAACATGCGAAGGCAGAAATATTTTATATAAGCCGCGGAGATAATCTGAGATTTCGTGATAGAGAAAATATACTGCTCGTTTTACGACGACTCGTTCGTTCGTTCGTTCGTCAGACGAAGTCCCTCTGCGTGCAAATTCTCTCATTTGTAATTTATTATGGCCGCGCGGACGGCAGAAGCGAAATGAATGCAAAGCTTTTCATCGTCTTGACACAGACAGAAAGGTCTGATTGGCGGACGAGCATAAATTTTGACTTACAACTCAATTAGTATATATTTGTGCCTCGGGTCGATATCAGTAAACTGTCTACTTTTTCAGTAGCCGAGTTTAATTTTCGTATCAAGATTTTTATGATCTTCGAATTGAACACAAAAAGCAGTTTTAAAATAATAAGATTAAAAAGGCATGTCATAAATTTAAAAAGCACAAAATTTTGCGCAAATGTTCTTTTTGCATATTACAAATGTCAGGAGATAAAACTCAAAGAGATGAGTTTTTAATTTTATTTTGGAGACTAGTGTGTGGAGAAGCCATAAATTAAAGAAATTTATGAATTGAAGTGGAATTTCATATGAAAAATTACTCAAATAAAAATATCAGCAAAATTTTTTCCATTTTCATATTAGGATTTCGTTTGGGATAAATACTTGAACTCTAAATAAATCATTTTATTTTTATTCTTCGTCCTGTTTAATTTAATTTTTAAGTTGAAATAATACAGAAATTATATAGCATTACGAAAGCTAATCGAATCAAACGAGCTCTACTCTTAACGACCCATTTCCAATCTGATCACAACAGAGCCAATTAACGCGAAACTCGCTTTCGTTCCGAAAATACACGTTCAAGAAACTCGTTTACACGCGTAATTATTTGCAAGCGAATCCGCACCAGATGTGCATAAATTCTCATTACCTTGCCCGGGAATAAACCAACTCTTACTTTAACGCTGTTGCTACTTATGCATGTAAATTCGCATGAATATATATTTTTGGTGCGTGTTGACCCAATTTTGCTCAACGCGCCACCGCGGTCGCTTCCTTTTGTGTTCGGAAAGAGAACAACTTCCTTTAATTACCACCGAAATCCTCATTAGCCGCCGAGATTTAATTAATTAGCTTTTCTTGTTTGCGTCAATCAACGAGTCAAGGAGAAAACTTTTTTAATTCTGACATTTTATTGTGCATTTAAACTTGCGTGCTGGAGGACAGCAGGTGTGGAATTTTTCTTTTACGACCTTTGCTGGGCCGGTGAAAGAAATTTTAGAAGCAAAACAACGTACTTAAAATGTGTCGAGTAAAGAGGTGATTTTGTCAATTGCAGGAGGATGTCGTTTTTTGTCAAGAGAGACTCTTGCGTGCAATTATTTTGAAGAAGTGCTTTTTGCTAAAAATGTCACTTGGCCAAGTTTTTAAGCGCTGGATTATCATCAATAAATTGATGCGTTGTCGCAGCTCATAAAGGTGTGTCCGTCAAGCGAACAAAAATATCCTGGTGATTTAAAATTATTGATGACATTGATTTATCGCAAGTCATAAAAGATGATAAAGAAAACAGAAAATACGGTAATTTACTCATTTTTAAATTAAATAAAATTTAACAATTTATTTCCATCTCAGTAAAAATTCCAACTTTATTTCATTATCCGAAAATTTTGATTAATTTCATCTAATGCCTCGGTAGATTTATCATTTTTATTTTAGCATTAAATTATTTTCAGCCAGAGGCCACTAACTCCTTTTAAACGAGCACTTTTTATCGCGGACAAGTATTTCCTCAACAACGGTAAGTGCTAAAAATAGAACACACTACTGTGTTTGTGTGAATTTTTTTTGCGCATACGGTGAGTATTTTTTGCTTGGATCATTAATTCTAATGAATATTCCGCAGGGGAATCCTCGGCACAGCGCGTCTCCAAGAAAATCTCTTACGTTCCGTTGCGCTCATCTGCCCGGCTTTCATTCACGGCCGATTTTTTGCTTCTACAAAAAAGAAGCGCGGCCATTTCCACTATTAATTGTCGGACGCTTTTTGCAACTCGGACACGTCTTCATTGGAGCACGACCTCGACTCTTTCTTGTTGTTGCCGCTGTATATTTTTCATGGAAATAAAATGGTCTTTAAGCAAAGAGCTCCAAACGAGGAAAATATAACGAATTTTTGGCTAAAAAATTATCAAGGAATCTGCTTAAGCATGACGTCTTTTCAGAAACCTCATTTATTTAAAATTTTTTGTCATTAAAAAATATCTCACGTTTTTATTCAAAGAGAAGTACACACGCTGCGCTCGGAATGATATCTCGGAACGAGACAACGCCCCAAATTGCCATTAGGTGGCTTATAAATAGCAGCGAGTGTGAAAAAAATTGGTCCGAAGCGGAACCAAATAATGAAAGACACAATAAGAACGTCCTTGTCTTTTATTGAGCTGCTGCTGCGGTTTACACGGGCCTATTAAGTTAACCAAAAAACAAACTCCTCTCTCGGCTTACGTCATGTAAAACCAGAACAATTTCGGGCGCCGTTGATTTATTTTGACGTTCGGCCGTGCAATTTCCAAGGAAAACGTTAAAACTAGGAATTATTTTACAACAACCACGACCAAGAAAAGTCTCTGATTTATTTCCACCTGAAGGCGGCTTTTAAAAGCTGCTATTTGGCTCTTTTTCGGCGGGCATGGAAATATAACCAAAGTTTATTTGGAAGTAAATCAAATCCGCTGGTGTAAATTTTACTATTTAAAGATAAAAAAGAAAAATGCTCACCTCATTCCGTCACACCATCCGCGTCTGGTCCGTTTCTGAAACAAAGATCAAATTTATTAAAATTTTCTGCTAAAAATTCACAATAATTTTTGGTTTTTTTAATTGTTGAAAAAAAGCATTTCATAGAAAATAATTTATTGCGCACTTCATTTAAAATGCCTTATAATAAAGCACAAATTTGCCATATTTTTTTTATTATTATTGCTCGGAGAGGCGCTGCTAATAGCATTTGTAACGCTAATGGCCGAGTTCCGGGGTTCGTTTCTTTCTAGAGCTTGGGCGTCGTTTCGTTTATAATAACAATAATTGAGAGCCAAGCGACTTTATCCACACACATATGCGACGGCGGTCGTCAGGTGCTGTGACTCGATTACACACCGCGCAATTCATCGCATCGTAAGCAGCCGGTCACGAATTTTTGCATCACCGATCTCCCCCAGCTGAATTTAATTTGATACATTATAAAAGAAGTGTACCAAGAGCTCCCGTGGCTCGATCGCTATAGATTTCTCTGTGCCATGAGGGCCTTCGAGTGAGTGATTTCGTGGCGGCTCCTCTTCGCTGACTGGTTTTCATTTGCAATTTCTTTTATAGTTAATGTTATAAAACTAGATCTCAGTAAAAAATGTAGCTTTGTCATTTAAATTAAAAATGAAAAGGGAAATTGATATGAAATTACTTATTTTACATACAACTCTTAAATTTGTATTAATTGATTTTTAATAGTAATTTTTTAAATCAATATGAAAAGAATAAATTAATTTGTCAATGATAATCGCTTTTTAAACAAAAACATTTTGGAAAAATAGTGAATCAAAAATAAAGATCTAAAATTTAACTGAAAATATCATATCAAGATTCATTTTTACAATTTTGTAAATTGACATCGTTTTTTTTTTAATTTAGTTTGAATTTACAATTAATCAATACAGTGCCAATTAAAAAAACGGAAACAAAATAAATGTGTAAAATATAATCTTGAGATTACATGAAATACCAATAATAATAAAACTGTTGCTGTCTATTTTGATGCAGAAACAACAACACCCGGATTTCACACCTCTCGCATTTTTGCGGTCATGTTTTGAGTGCGTTTATTGGCCAATTCACAATATCCAATTTCACTTTAGATCCAACGCACTCGCTCCAAAAGACTCTAGGCAATGATTCATATACCCGCTCGGGGTGTCCATAAAAATTGACCTGGACTTTAAAGGAGACGCCGCTCAGCGAGTTTCTCGCAAAGAGAGATGAATCCATAACTTATCCCATGCACGTGAAAACTTGAGCAATATCGGAGCGCCAAATAAGGCCGCGCCGGCCGACAAATGACACTTATTTTTCACCTCCCATGCAGCGAGAATTTGAATTTCAAACAGTAAAGCGCACATTAGAGAGCGAGCGAAGCAATTTTCTTCATTTACAATCCCGCCTTTGTATAAAAATATAAAAAAATACAAACGCGCGCGCTTTGAGAGAGAAAGAAAGAGCGGCGATTTGGTTTTGTTCTGTCGGCCCCGTTATTGATTCGAATGGTGAGGTGTGAGGTCTGCGCGATTGTTGTGTATGCACGAGAGCGTTATTTTCTTTCTTTCGTTTCGATCTTGGGCGGAGCTGCTTTTCCAATCGCGAGCCACGCGGGGAGAGCAAAGCCGCGTTCAGCCCAATGTAAAGGTCGTCCAGGGTCTCCCGCGCCATAAAATGCATGTCGGCTCGGGTTTATTTGTGTAACGTGCTCATGCCCTCGCGTATAGCGAAAAACACATCGCAGCTGACTCACACGACTTTAATTTGAATCACGACTTGGCACTTTTCTGTCTGAATGCCGACATTTATTCCCGTGTGCGCTTCACTTCCTTGCGAATTTCATCCTTCGCAAATTCCCTTTCATGTTTGGATTTGTATTTGTGCCTTGGAATAATTATTGTTCCTAATTGTTTTCAACTTCATTTTTTATTTCTCTAATTTCTCTTATTGTTATTTAAAATAATAAAATTCATTTATCACTTTAGATTAGGAGTACACACGAACTATTATAATTAATTATTATTCTTCAGCATTGCTTTTTCAAAATCACTTTAATTATAAATTTAAATTTAATTTTTAAAACAATTATAAAGTAATTAATCAGTTGTTGCTGTTATTTATACGTAAATAAGTTGACAATTAAAAAAGGTTAAATTTTGATAAAAATGTTTTAATAAATTAAATGTATAAATTTTAAAAATATTATTCAAAACCATTACTTTTGTTAAAAAGAATTAAATTATATTAATATAATAAAATGTTATTAAATAAACTGTTTATACAGTTTATCAGGAACGTTAAAAATTTGAGCATTTCAGCAGGTCACGGTCGAAAAGGTGGCTTCAATCAGACAGACCTCTTGACATGATTGTCACTCATCAATAATCCCTCTCAGCTTGTTAATCCACGAGCGAGAAGAGCGAAAAGCTGCAGCCATCTGCGTTCCCATTATATTCAGCTCCATCCTATTTTGCACGAGCTAGATCGCGATCGATCTCTTACAAATGCCAATTCATCAACCTGCTCGAGATATATAAAACACAATAGCACATTATATTGAAACAGGAAAACACGCGGCGGCTCGCGTCAACGCGCAAAGTTCACATCCTTGACTCGCCGCAATTCGAAATTGCAATAAATTTTCGATCATTTTTTCCTCCCCGGCTCAAAAGCAGCATCCTAGATCATTAATTAGCTGCGTCAGTGAGCTAATGGGGAAAATCTACCATTCATTACTAAATCAGCGGCGGTTTCTCCGGTGATAATAAGACAACGGCTGCGCGACACTCTCGCGCGTGTTTTCCCCCAGCATTGATTAAGCACGGACTGGCAACTGGGACATTGACCATAATCAAAATGAAAGCATATTTAAATAATTTTTATTTATCTGAATAATTTTCAAATTATTGATAATGAAGAATTTTTGCTAATAATTCTAAGATAAAACGTTAGAGATCAAAATTTATCGCCATAAAAAAATTTAATTTATATTTTATAAATTTTTTGACTAAGTTGGACAAAAATTAAATTAATGGTTTATTATTTTGCGTAATTCTAGCTAAATTAAAGGCGCAGTCCGTGTCTAGCGCTTGATGAAGTATTTACAGCTGGTGGACAATAAAGGATCATGTGTGTGTGTTTCTTGTCGCGGTTTATTCTCGGAATCTGCGGAGAGCCAGATGACATTTTACTTTTGCTGCGAGTTGCACGACAGCATTTGTCAGGAAATGTTGGAAGTTATTTCTTAATCAAATTCTCCGAGCTTATTACAAATGCAGAATCTGGAGTATTTTTCCCACAATCCGACGGGAAAGTAATAAATCTCCTCTGCTGTGGGCGAGAGATTGGAAACGTCGACAGATAAGAATCTCCGCGATGTACATTTAATTAGCTCGTCGGTAAAAATAATTAACCGGGTCGGCAATTCCGCTAGAGCATTTTCTATGGTGGCATAATTTGTCTTCTCGAATTTTTGCCCCGAATAGCCCTTCAATTTTCCTCTTGCACCGGCATTCAATTACGCTTTCCCTCTGGGCATGAACAATTAGTGAGAACATTGTCGTAAAAATAAATTGCCATGGAGTTTCTTCTCTCTCTCTCTGTGTTTGCTAATGAGGCATGGAACAAAACATCTCTCTCGCTAACTGAAAAGGCATAGCCAGGCTTGAAAAATCTACAATTCAATTGACCGATCGGATGGAAAATCTTTTCATGTATCTCGCCAAAATCATCTCTCGCTGCGCTCAGATAACATCGGAATTCCGATCCGTTCGTGCTAATTCGATTCACTTGTTTTGACTTATCTTCATGAAATCGGCAGCAGGATGTGTTTTTTTTTTCTCTCTCGGCCGACCGTGTACATAACAACAGCAATTTCGCTCAAGTTACCTGCTCTGCTGCAGAAGTACCGAGAGAGAAGTTATTTATTAATTTCTCCCACTGATATTGGCAACCTGTTTTCGACGCCCGCGGCTCTTGTTTTCGGTGCCAAATTTATTTCCAACCACTGATTCGGCAAACAATAAGGCCGAATAATGCAAATAAATGGACTCGTAAAATAGCAGCAGCCTTGAATTTATTTATATGCCGAGATTCTCCTCTTTCTGCTGCGGGAAGAAATAATGGTATAATTTAAAAATTCCTGACCTACAGCAGCAGATGGCTCGCCGCGTCTGGCGGCGGATCTCTTAAATTTCTTGCCCTGCAATTTGATTTATTGCGAAATAGGTAATTGCACGCTGAGATGGCTTTGATTTTTTCTCCGCCGAATGGTTCAATGCAAATTCAAAGAAGGATTTCTCAACCACCCAATTTTTTATGGCGGTAATTTGGATGCTTAATTGCTCAGCATCAATTGATTTTACAACTTAATATACTAGCTAATTACTAGATATTAGTAACATTTTTTTCTGCAAACTCATCCCACTGAGCATGTCGCATCAAAATTTTTATTAAAATTTTCCCATAAATGTAAAATAATTACTTATTAAAAAGTAATTAGAGTTGGCATGCGTGTGTAGAGATGAATTCCATCCCTGCATTTTTTTTATTGGATAATTAAAAGAACATCAACGAGTGTGTGCAATTTCTTGTAACTAGATTCTGGTCAATTGACCCAGAAATTTTAATTTCGTTTTTATAGCTCTAACCTTTTTGAGATAAATGGAAATGACTATAATCGTTAAAATTATTTCGCTTTGGCCTCCGTTTAGGATATTGCATGTGAAATATTAAAAAAAAAAAAAAAGGAGCACTTTTAAGTTTCTCACGTTACTTAAAATGCCCTTTGGGATTAAAAAAGAATCATGATATTTCAATGATGACTTCAAGGCTCATGGCTAACAAAATTAATTTTATATTATTGAAATGTTTCCCAGAAGAAGTGAAAAGTCTTATAAAATATTTTCTTTGAATATTAATTAATATAGGAAAACGATTAAATTATATAAAAAGCATTAAAGTGATTCTCATTCCAAAGAGTTTCGTAAAAGATGAGATATGTGTTTCA